TTTAGACCAAAGGTGAAAGAGAGGGCGCCCACTATGCCGCTTATATACGCCCTCATCGCGAGGGGTGAGTTTAAAGAGGCAGATGCGCTGTCATTGTTGCCGAAGCAGTTGTTGGTTTGAAGCGCTCACGCATTACAGCTTTGAATTTGATTACTGCCATACCCAAGATTCTACTGTTAAACGTTTAGGGTTTAGGGTTTACGTTTTGGGGTTTGTGTCCAGGTAACGTAGTGCTATGTGAGCACGCAGACAGCGAAGGCAACTTCCCCACTGTCACACGCCTTCTCCTCTGCCGGCTCCCAACAGACAAGCAGCGCATGTCCTACATCTACGACAGGTGAGCTGCAAACGCGCTGTGGCAAGTTCAGCTCGGAGAGGGGAGGCGCAGACCCAGGAGGTCTGCTTTCCGTGTTCTCGAAGACACACATTACACCGAAGTACAAACTAGGGTTTAGGGTTTAGTGTTTAGAGGTTTGAAGTCCATATGATGCAGTTGATGTTCTGCGGCGGTTGCTTCTTCTCAGATATGTCTTCCACTACATTGTGTGCGAAGGACTTACATTTTTAACGATGGCCGATGATAGCGCAGGGTTTGCGCTGCCATTCGAATTCTTAGAGGCGGTCAAACAACAGTAAGCTATTGCTGCTGCTGTCATTTCTCCTGCTTTCAACAGGGCTGCTATCGACGCTGGCGTTGCTGTTATTGTGGCGGTTGCTCCGTCGAAGTTGCTGCTGCTTCTGTTGTCGATGCAGCTGCTGCAGTGCGCCCCCTGCGCTTCTTTTCTTGCGTTTCTGGTTGTCTTGCTTATTTCGTTGTTGTCGCCGCGTGCTTTGCCCCTTCCTTTCATGCTTTTACAGCGTGTTGGAGGGGACGGTTGCTGCTCGTATTTTGATTAGGCTGTTGCTAGTGCTGCTGCTGCTGCTACTTCTGCTGCTGGTGCTGCTGCTGCAGGTTTTTCCCCGAGCATCGCGAAGCAGCAAAGACCGGCATTGCGCTGTCTCTACAGGGCAACTTTGGGCCTACCCTTAAAACCATGCTTGTGAGGCTTGAGTTCATGGACCCAGCGCTTCGGGTTTAGGGGGGAGGTTCCGTGGCCAAGTGTTTAGGGTTTAGGGTTTAGGGCTTGGGGCTTGTTCGCAGGACTCGTTCAACTCCCACCAGACTCTTGATGACTTCAGACAAATCCGCACTCAGATTGACGGGATCCACTCAGTGATGATCGACAGCATCGGTAGGATGCGGGGCTGAGACGAGGGTTTTCTGGATCTCAGTGTTTGCAGCTTAGGGTTAGGGTAGTTTAGCGGTTTAGGGTTTAGGGTTTAGAATTTAGGGTCCAGGGTGTGTAGTGTGGGATGTACAGACAAGATTCTTCAGCGCGGAGAGAGGATAGATCTGCTGGTGGATCAGTCGGAGCAGCTGAACCAGGAGGCTGTGACGTTCCGACGGCAGGTAATACGCTTTGGCTGTAGAGTTAGGGCTGGGGGTTATTGCTGCTAATTGTGAGCGCTCCAGAGGCCGTCGAAGTATAGCCTCTGGCTGTGTGCATTGGGGCTTATGGTTTAGGGTTTAGGGTTTATGGCTTCGTGCTTTGGTTTTCTCTGCAGGCCCGCCGCCTGAAAAACGCCCTTTGGTGGCGTAACGTGCGAATCATTGCTATGATCGTCGGCATTATATCTGTACGTCGGCAACTTAGATATTAGGGTTTAGGGTTTAGCGTTCCGGCTCCAAGCTCTCTAGGACCTGAGAAGCCGGTGTTTGACTATGTATTTCTTTCCTGCTCAGATGCTTTGCGTAATCATTGGAATGGTTTCCTGTGGCGGGGTTACCTTCCCGTCCTGCAGGGGCTCCTAAGTGTGAGCGTCCAGCGTCAAGCCTAGGCCCAAAACCCCTCTAACCCACACACCACGCATTTCGTCATCGTCACCGCATGGGCAAAAAAGATTCGATTACTGCAGCGCTTGCTGCAAAACGAGCTCCTGCTGCTCCAAATCACGCAGTTGCTGCTTGCGCGGCCGCCGCTATGGCTGCTGCTTGTTTCCTTTTTTGTTTATTTCGGTTTGCGAGAATCCGCGACTACTATGCAGGCAGACTGCGTTGCAGCAGCACTACCATCAGCGGGAATTGCGCCAACAGAAGCACCGGTCAAATGAAGCGGTAGCACCCGCTGCATCTGCAGCAGCAACAGGTGTGGACTGTTGCTACAGCAGCGGCAGCAATTTGCACAATTTGCAGCTTCATCGGCCCCCGTTGCCATAGGAAACACCCGGCTCACCAATTGCAGCTGACGGATCTGCTGAGGCCGCATCAGCTTCTGTCGGTACCAGCAGTAACTGCTGCAGGAGCAGGTTCTGCAGCAGTAGCAGCTTCTGCAGCAAGAACAGCGCTGGCAGCAGCCGCTGTAAGACACGGGTGATTTGAAATTCATGGCAAACAGCCTATCTGTGTGAAGCTTGTTTTTGCTTGCTACCCGATGCGTAATGTCCGACGGTCCCCTCCTTACGCCCTAGCTCCTCCTTTGGGAGGTGTACCAACTCCACATTTTCTCAACATTCTAATCTATATCCTTGGTTGTATATACAAGCTGAACCAGCGTTTGTGTGTTTTCAATCTTGCCCCTAGTATCTGCTTCCGCCGTGGCGAGTATAGGGAGCACAGCATTAGGAGGAAGTAAACGTACGCGAGAGCAGAGCAGTAATATTATATAGGGGAAATAAGCAAAAGCCAGTCACACAAAGGCGCTAAGCTAAAGCGTACGGGGTGCGGGGTTCGAACCCGCGACCTTCTGCGTGTAAAGCAGACGTGATAACCACTACACCAACCCCGCGATGTCAGTTGACCTTTTTTGCTTTCGTCTGAGTGCTGGCCGTGTGAAATGATGTTCAGACTTATTATTCAAAAAGGGTAATCCCAACAGCTAGTTTAAATCCCGGAGAAGATGATGGTCTATAACAAGCCTGAAGTGAATGCAGTTGAGGCCACTCGAGCATGGGGCTGCCATCTCTCGCAATAGACTAGATTGTCGAAGCGTAACGTTAGTGTTTCGCGTTAAAACACCGTAATAGATGGTTTCATATACATTGGATTATGTGATAAATGATTCGGGGTAAAGAATGCCGTGTAATAAATAGCCTGCGTTGCGCAACTGTGCAGTGCGACGTTTAAGGAGACTAGAGACCAGGCTGGAGCTGCGCCCAAAGGAACTCCGCTTACATATAATCCATTGTAATACTAATTATTATTACATATTCAATGTTAATGAGTAATAGTGATGCGGGTTATAAGTTTGTAGTTGTGTAACAATGTGCCTCTGTTTGATACAGAGGTGAGGGCGATCGTACCCATTACCAACGTGCTGTAGAGTAGATGGCCTTCCTTTAGAACGCATTAGGCCCCAACGGTGATTTCCCTTTATTCTCTACCATCTGCATGTTATGTACAGGCAAGCGGGTGCAAATGACCCCGAAACTAGCAGCAAGTGTATATTAGGACGGCAGTGGTGGTCTGGTGCAAATGACCCCGAAAATAGCAGCAAATGTATATTAGGACGGCAGTGGTGGTCTGCACCGTTGGCGCCCATTGCAGTGTAGCGCAGCCTGCAGTAGGAACACCCTTTAGCATGCTTTAAGGCAGGCTTCATCCACAGGAGGAGCAGCAACGATACAAGCAGGAACGTAACCCGCCGCAACAGACCACTTAACAACACCACTGCAGCCCGGCCCGTCCGGAGCAGGCGGATGCACGGCTGTTAGTTTCCTATCTGGTTCTTCTGCTCTACTACTAAGCATATCCTGCAACTGCCGCGGCCTGAATAAATTCTCAGGCGCCGACGAGTCTAAACAGCGGCAGCACTGCGCTGCACGTGAATCAACACGCAAATGCAAATGCAAATCCAATCAAGACTACCACCATACGAACAAATCTACACAGACCAAACGAAAGCAAAGGGAAGAAAGCGAACCAGCAGAACACAAGGAAAGACGAAAAGCTTGACATATGGCAGACAGATGGAGATTGTCAGACGGAGCAAAATATCTACTGAAGTAACAAAAAAAGGTTGCAGAATTTAAAAAATGGTAAGATTCTCCACTGAAGACCCGCAGAGAAAAGAGTTGGGGTGAGGAGGAGGGGTGAGAGGAATAGCGAGGCTGTGACCTTTGTTTTCTACTCATCTTAGATTAGAAAACGTTGGACACTGTCTTCCTCGCTGTAAATACAAGCAACTCCACGAATTCTACACTTTGGACGCGCTTCGCCATGTTTGGCGGAGTTTTTAGTGCGTCTGGAGTCGTTGTTGAACTGGTGCTGTGACGGCAACCAAGACATGTCGGCTTTATTGCCCTGCCTTGCTGCTATGAAAGCAACTGGAAGGCCGTACAANACGGCAACCAAGACATGTCGGCTTTATTGCCCTGCCTTGCTGCTATGAAAGCAACTGGAAGGCCGTACAAAAACCAAACTGAACCCTGGAACCAGCTACAGAAGAAACAGGCAATATATCAGCAGGTCATCTGCACGCATGCCCTTCTCCATTTGCTCTTGCGCCAGCTTTCTTCTTAATTCCAGCCCTTTTTCCCAGCTATCAAAGTACTCTTTCTGTTGCTTCTTTGCCTCCTCCAGCGCCACATCCGAAGACCAGGTGCGGCCAATACGTCGCACCTTGGCCTCGAACTCTAAACGCGGAGTAACGAAATGTTCAGGATACAACTTCTCAAACAATTTCCAGAGAGTGAAAGTTTCAAAGGTAGTTTTGGTGTAGGGGACCACGTAGTTCGCCTTGGCGCTTGAGGACAAGGCTAGAGGACCTTCAAAGGCACTGAGGAAGGGGGTAAATGCCTGTAAGGCACTTGAGTTGTGCTGGATTCGATGATGCTCTGCTGACAACAGATTAACAAGCTTGTCGGCCANCCACCAACTCCAAAAACTCTTTTGCCCGCATCCCCGACTCAACTTCTCCTTTCAAGTCATCCAGGCTCGGAAAGCTGTAAGGCATATCGCGGCCATCGATCGCCACCGGTACGCCCACTTCTTCATTTTGCTGCTGCATTTCCTCCACCTGTTGCAGGCGATCGACAACAGCAACACAGAGGGACTTCAGCAGTCGCAAATGCAGAGAGTAGTCCTTCCGTGCACCCAGAGATAAAAAACCTGGGACTTTGGACTTGCGCATCTCTTCCACGTGAGCTCGCAGGTTCTCCACAGGATCGCCAGAACTCAGTGATTCACCCTGTGGCCCAGACGGTATGAAGTACTTTGTGAAAGTTTCTCGCACTAAAGGCTCGGAATTTTTCCAGGCTTCCTCCATCTCTTTTGCTGCCTCATTTAATTCTTCCCTGTACCGTTCTATGTCGGCATCTTCCAACGTTAAAAATGGCGTGCTTCTGTGTATTACCTTACCATCTCTTGACCCAATTTTTCTTTCTGCCAGCAGCAGGGCCCCCAACACTAAAAGCAGCGGGATAATTACCTTGAGATACCCTGCTGGGGACTTCCTCAGGAGATGGGCATCATTCTCCTGAAGGACGTAGTCACCGGCGTCCGCTGCCACGGCTTCTGGTGCTTCCTGTTCCAATTCCGCAACCGAAACAGCTGCATCAGGCAGATCTGCCCCCATTTTCAACTACCGTCAATGGNCTGTTCCAATTCCGCAACCGAAACAGCTGCATCAGGCAGATCTGCCCCCATTTTCAACTACCGTCAATGGATCCAAAGATATTCACGGTCACAGATTGCCTTTCTCCTTCCTGGGTACTTCACGAATGCTCCACGAGTATACGGCAGATACGCAAGTCTCAGGTGGGAAGGACGTTATCCTGATGAGTTCCAGTAAGAGTACGTAAAAATCAAACACAAATCTGAAAAATACAAGAAGTATCCGAATAAATGCCGTCAACCAGCCTGCTAGTCACTCCTAGATGGAGGCTACGTGCAGTCTCGATCCGTCACGGCTCGGCCTGCTTGCAAGGCTTCCTGCTTGTTAGCCCCCCTATTTAGATGGAAAAAAGTATTTTTTCTTGGATTCCTGAGTGTTTCTCGTCGTTGCTTTGGCGGATGTGTAGTAGTCCTACAACGATCACAGCGACTGGGTAGCTTGGTCGAGGTCTGCAGTCGGCGGATGCACTACTAAATCATAGCAGGGTGGCTCCACAAGGCGAAGGGAATTGTTAACAATTTAATATTGCTTTATTACATTCATCGAAAGATATCTTGGTTATGCTGGCTGATGGGGTTGCCCGGAAGCAGAGCTGGGGCGACGATCGCTGCAACTCCTGGGGCGACAATCTCGCTGCTGTCGACTGGGTATTTGCATCGCTCTGCGCGTCAAGGCTGGTGACTGTGGGGGATGTTAGCTGCCTTTGTGGAACTGTGAACTGAAGCATCTGGTTCTGTTGCAGCTCAACAACGGCCGTTTGCTAAAACGGAGGACGCCGTCACAGTTTTCGTTAGTCTTGTGCAGAATGCAGTAGCATTCTTGTAGCATGAGTTAGCAAAGGTGCCTTCACTTGGCTTTGGTA